AGGGGTGCAGCGGGGGAGCGGGTTGGGCTAACGGCTCCCCGCTGGCTCGCCGCAGGGTCTAGCTGCGGCTTCCGAGCCGCTGCTGTTGCCCTGGCTGGCTGTGTTATCCAGATTTTTCAAGGTCCGTGTGCTTATCTGATTTCAACTAGGTGCAGAACGGCCCACGCCTGCACCTGGGATGGCTTCTCGGGATAAAAGTTCCCCTCAGGTCATCTTCCAGCCGCCCTTTAAAGATATTCATCTTTGGACTTCACTGTCCTTCCCTCGCGGGGAGATCTCGACATTCTCTGTTTAAAGACATCTTGCACCTCCAAGCCTGAGCTGATGCCTCTATCTTCATTTACCTTGCCTCTGCCTCCTGAGACCCCTGCCTCCTCCCGCTTATGAAATATCACAAGGATGCAGGGTTTTCGCTTTATGCTTTCCATATCCACGATGGTGTAATGGCAAGAGAGCCCACAACTGATAAGAAAAAGTCACCGCAGCACTGTGACATCTTACTGGCCCTGATGGTTGCTTATGGGCCAGTCCTACAAACACCGTTTCCGAGAGATTCAAGAAATTGCTGTTAAAAATAAAATTACATCAAACAGTCTCTGGATTTTAAAAGAGACAGACCATAATTGCAATTGAGCCATGAAGAACTGCCAAGAATATATCACCAAAAGAAAGAAAGCTCCCGTATCCTTCCAGTTCCCTGATGCGTAATGGAGGACTTAGCTTCCTCTTCCTGCTAGTAATGGACATTTCATTTCACTTGCTATTTTTCATTTTCCTGTAGAATTACAGGAAGTAACAACATGTGTGTGTGTGTGTGTGTCTCACCACCTTGGATTACTGGCTACAGTCTTCTTAGGCTTTAGTTTGCATCTGAATCATCTGAAGTGCTTGTTAAAATATGGGTACCTGTAGCTACAACCTCCAGGTATTGTGATTCAGATCTGTGTGGGGCTAAGCAATTTGAATTTTTAATAATCATTCCAGGGGACACTATAGGTGGTTAGAGGCTCACAATTAGAGAGCATGGAGTTATTATAGATTTTGTATGTTACCACTCTGAAGTGGGATAACTCATCCAATGTCCAACCCACTTATATAATTATTGCTCTGACAATCCTGTAACCTCCTTTTTTGATTGACCTAGAAAGTTCAGGACTTCAAACAACAAATTTAATTGTCATGTTTATTTCATAAGATCTCGTTGTAATGCCAGAAATAAGTAACCATTTGGCAGCTATATTATTCACTGGGTACCGACAGTGTACAGCAGGTCCTCAAATAACATCATTTGTTCAACGTCATTTTGTTATAAAGTTGATGAGATGCCGTAAGAACTTAACTCTTGTTTATATCAATTAGCCTAGGGTAAAATTGGTTTCCTTATGTATGTCGTTTTGCTTAAAATTGTAGAACTTATTAATGAAGTTAAATGTGGACTTACCATACAGAGCACTGTCATCTATAGTAGGGTTAACCAAGTGAAATAGAAGAAATGATGACCCCTATCTACAACAAACTTAGTGTCTAGTTGTGGGATTAAAACACAGACACAGTACAGACCCAGTGTAGCACATAAATCAATCTATTGGACCAAGATGAAAAAGAAATTGTAATTAAAGAGTAAGTCCTTTACTGTCAGTCACTTAGCCCAGACTTTTTCAATAGGGTAATTTCCTCTGAACACTGAGTCCTCAGCTTACTGAAGGTCCTCCAACTCTACAAGGTATAAAGAGCCTGAAGCCATCAATTTCTGTTTGTATGTATAAATTTGTGTACATACATGCCTATGTGTATGCATGTGTGTATAATATAGATATAAATATATTTATCAGATCAAGAATCTACTTGAATTTTCAAGATCTTTAACACTTAAGCTATTCATTAATGCTGATAGTTCTGGCTACCTTTATCACCTACCTAGCTCACCTTTTCTTCTACAGTCGATCACACCCAGGATGTAAGGAAAGAAGAGCTACATCTTTAAAAAGGAAATCAAGTGTATCCACAACTATTTCTAGCTTTTCTTTTTTCATTGTTCAAGGTCAAAACAAATCTCGTTTAATTTCTTGTCATCAGAAACCCTCCAGGATTACCACTCAGAAGCAAAACATTCCCCCAGCCAGCTGTCTGACATTTTAGAGAGAACATTTGCACCATTGTTTACTAGTTAGGAAGACAGGGGATTATTATCCTTATTTTACAGATGGGGAACCAGATGCAGGTCAAATGACTTGTCCAGTCACACAACTAACTAGTAGCAGAGCCTGGATTTCCTACCACAGTTCTCATGACTACCAGACCAGGGTGCTTACCACTACATCGGGCTTCCTCAATAATAAATCCTTCCCAAAACCACTAATCTAATTAGAAACAGAAGAGATAAACATGGAAATTGAAAAGTTAGGAAATTGTACAGTGCAATTGACAGATTCAAAATACAACATACAAAGCACAGAAAGCATGAAAATTAAACTGTTTGAAGCCAAACAGAATTGAATAAGACATCTCTATTAGCAGATACTGGTATAGATAGGCCTTGCCCATTTTACTCTCTTGTAACAAGAAGCTGAAACAGATAGCCAGGCTGCTCCTAGCATTAGTTATTTATGGAAGGGCAGAAAACAACTGTTCTTCATTGACTGGGTAAGAAGCCTTTGTGTGTTAAACATACTTCAAAATTATTTGTAAAACGATAATTTCTTCCTGTGGAGAAAATTACAAGCAACAGGACTTTATAATAATATTTGCATACATAAATTATGTTTTGTCATTAATAAGACTTTATTTTTTTCAGACCCAATAACCAGGCTAAATATTGTCTTCAATGACATGTCCAAAACAGATGAAATCGGAAACCTGGACAGAAGATTATCTTACTGTGAGCATAAATAATAACCCAAGCTACTCCTTTCAAAAATGGCCAAGGGCATAGTGGCTAGATCTAAGCGTTATTTTTTGAGGAATGATTCTTTCATCTTTTCAAATAACCATTTCTTTTCATTTCAGTACATTTTACAGGTTTTTTAATTAATCGAAAAATCAAAAGACATCTAATGCATCTGTATGGGAAGAGAGTATTGTAAAGAGTCGATTCTTCCCAAATTAATTTATAAAGTTAGTGAAGTCAATAGCAAAATCCCAGCAGGGTTTTAATGGAACTTGACTTCAGTGTCTCTCATTAATTCATTATGTCTTTTTAAAAGTGAGCTCCTTTCCCTTCTAAATAAAATCCTCTGCAATATCCTTGCAAATTGCTTTAACAACCTCCTCCCCCCCCCCCCCCCCAAAAAAAAAGAATGAAATATTCGTATTATCCATAAGACCAGAGGCAAGTGAAATGGGCTATGGTTGTCATCAAGTCTGCAAGAAAGTTACCTTTGGTATATTTTTACCCATTTTTTTGTTGTGAATCGAGCCTAGTTATGTAAGAGGAAAAGGTCATCAGTATCATAACTCACCTTAAATCTCTATTTTTCTTTCCCTTTCACATACAGGAAGATTCATTTTCATCTCCCATTCTCAAGACAAATCAAATAACGACAAAATTTTTAAATGTCTCTTATTTAGAATCATTAACTATTAGAGCCAGGAAGCCATTAGAGAGGCAGAGTAGTAGGATAGAAAACTATATAGGCTTTGAACTTGGACCACACTAGACCGTATTATATAACCTCTTTTGAGCCTCAGCCTCTTCATCTGTAAATTGGGGGTGATGATGGTACCTCATTCATAAGGCTCTTCTGAGGGAGGATTGAATGAAATCATGCTCACAAAATGACTGGCTTATGGCAAATATGTAGTAAATTGTGGCTATTAATTAACAAGTTCGATCTCCTCATTCTACAGATGAGAAAAAAAAAAGGAGCTAGAACCAAAACTCATATTCTTCCATTATACCACACCAGTCTTTCTCCAGATTCTTCTGTTTATTGAGTGACTTTTCTTTAAAGTCAAGGGCTAAAGACCTTAAGAAGTGGCCTACAACCATCACATTCACTTTCATTCACTAAATCACTCTCTGACCATAAGCTAACCTCCATGCCTTCTATGAAATGGACAAACCTCACCATTACACTTAGATATTCACTCTGATTAAACCTTTGAACATTTATTCAAAGTTACCCTTCTTCAAACTAAAATGCTGTAATAAAACCGTCTTCTTTACTTGGGCCATATTTGACACCCGGTACAACCCAAGTTATTGTTATTCAAAAGAAAAATCTTTAGCAATTTGTTTGAATAAAAATGGCCACCAGTTGTTGAGTATTTACTATGTGCCAGGCACTGCCCCCAAACACTTTACATGTATTATTTCATTTTATCCTCAAAATAAGCCTATGAGGTAGATACTACTGTTATTTCAGAGGAAAAAGTGCATATGGCTGAATAAGTAATGTTTCACATGGCCATCTCATTATTACATAAACCCATCTAGAAGAGAAACAGTCTCATTTTGGAACATCTTACTTCTATATTGGACCCAGGGGGAACCTCTCCTGCGGAAAGACATTTAAAGCAAATACTTTGAAGGTAAACTCACAGATTTTGAGAGTCGATTTTAGCCATGATATGTATCTAACCCAGACCATCTATGCAGGTAGTTTTAGAATCAGTGGCTAACCTCAACTTTCTCCAAGCTCTTTTCAATATTTTTGAAATTATAAATTTCTGATTTTGTTGCCACTGGACAAATTTTAGATATTGCAATCTAGATAAGTTTATGAATAAGTTCCTACCTGTGACTATTCTCTCTCTTCATTGAGCTATGGTGCAAATTAGACCCTATGTGAAGGTCTCTA